TGCTCTATCGAGAGCGTATGTACCAAACGGTGAAGGACGAGGCAATGAAAGAGCCAACAAAAACATTCAGTCACTCACGAAGAAGTGATTCGCACAGCATGTAAATGAGGCATTTGTCCATAGAAAATGTACGATCAGTCAATTCAAAACAAGAATTGGGTACCATTACGAGAGAATAAACTATAGTCGCTATATTCATAGTCTGACGGATAGAATTTCGATCTATCAAAAAGCGGAACCAATTCAATATATTTTAGACCACATTTATAAACAAAACGTTGATTATTTTTTCCTCACCAATCGAACGCAAATTACCGGCATCATAGGACAGAGGAAACTTTCCCCAGACCCAAAGATGGTGTCAGTTTGCGTAAGCGAGCCTTGAGTCACGAGAAAAGGGTTTCCGAAGTTTTGTTCGCAATAGCTGATGTGCTCTTTTATGTTGTTGGTCATGATTTGCTCGATTGGTTCCGCTATTTGACAGCTCAATTGGTTCCCGAGATTCTATCCACCAGACTATGAATATAGCGACTATAGAATAAACGTGCTGAGTGAGTGCTCTGCTGTCAGTGACTCGTTTGCTTCCCAATCGTTCAGACTATCAAGAGGCAGTAAATGATGAGGCGGATGGCTGTTTATATTCATATGAAAATGACTCATTGAACCTGACTGTTTTGCGCACTGGTCATTTACATTCATTTCGTGCATTAATTTACATTCCGTAAAATGATGTATGAAGCATTTGTAAATTTTATGAATTACTCAAATCTGTATACAGTCAAGATTCCCATAGTACGGTTAATAGGGACCGGATAATAGGAACCGGCATTAGCGAATACACATACCATATAGGATTAGAGTTAACTGGGGACGAACTCTTATTGTAGAGTAATTTGAAGAGATAACTTCATGGTGTCTTCTAAAAAGTTATTAACTAGATAGTTGACCATCTTTTGGGAAACTTCAACATCCGGAAAGTCACAAGTCTGGTCCTCTGGAAGACCCGGAACATCCGTTAAAGAAGTCAATTTATGATCCTAGAGCTCCGCTGATTTTTCGAAATCACTCGTAGGCTTCTTATCAGAATGAATTCGGAGTTTTGACTCAAATATGGACCCAGGGGACCACGGGGTGGACCACTGGATGATCCGGAACGTCCGTAAAAGTAGTCAATTCATGAAATTGATCCTAGAGCTCCGCTGATTTTTCGAAACAACTCATAGATTGTCTTACCAGAATGAATTTCGAGTTGTTACCGAATGGATCCAGAAGACCAGTTAATGGTCCACCGGATGATCCGGAACATCCGTAAAAGTGGTCAATTAATTAAACTGATCGTGTACCTCCGTGTTTTTTTTTTTCGAAACCGCTCATAGACGTCTTATCAGAATGAATTTCGTTGTTAGCGAATGGACCCAGGAGACCAGTTAATGGTCCACCGGATGATCCGGAACATCCGTAAAAGTGGTCAATTAATTAAACTGATCGTGGACCTCCGTGTTTTTTTTTTCGAAACCGCTCATAGACGTCTTATCAGAATTACTTCGGAGTTGTGACCCGAATATGAACCAGGGGACCAAATATGATCCTCCGGAAGAATTGAAACATCTGAAAAGTGATCAATTTATGAAACTGATCCTAGAACTCCACAGATTGTTCGAAACCTCTCGTAAACGTCCTTATCAGGATAAATTCGGAGCTATGACCAGAATATTGACGCTAGCGACTACGGGATGATCAAATAATTAAACTGATCCTAGACCTCTGCGTTTTTTTCGAAACCTCTCATAGACGTCTTATCAAAATGAATGTGAAATTATGACCGGAAATGGACCCTGGGGATCAAGGAATGGTGCATTGGAAGATCTGGATCGTCCGTAAAATTGATCAATGTATGAAACTGATCCTAGTGCTTAGCGGTGTTTTTTTTTTTCTTCAAGAAACGTCTTATCACAATAATTCAGAGCTACCGGAATATGAATCATGAACATTCACGAACTTCTCGAAACACACACATTTAGATTTTCTGGCCGAGATGGGCACTGCCCACGTCTTTACAATCGCAGAGGATAGGATCAGAGCTGGTAAATATCACGGCCGTCATGTGACAATGAGAAAACAGGTCCTCTCACTATCACGAGACGAAACGACCGATCATTAGCTTTCTTGTCATTTTCCAATGATCAATCACTCATGAGAATTCATTTGACATCAACATTTCTAACTGATTTAGATGAATTTAAGCAAGTAACCGTAGGTAATCGGTAGAGTGAATATATTTTTTATATTTCTTTGGTACAAGTAACTTTAATAGAGCAGTAATCCTAATGATTACAGCACTGTCACGTTCTGTCATGAAAAAAAATCGATGAGATTTTGAAAAAATCTCTGTCATCGTTTTCTCATCCGATGATAGTGAAAAAAGTATCTCTGTAAATATCGTGTGAGATCTTTCATTGAAAATGACATTTGCCAGCCCTGGATAGGATACCACTTATACACATCTCGATATAGAAGGGATCATCGGGTTGTGGGTTAAGGAATAAATTAATTTAAAAGATGTGTGCACTTTTTGGAGAATTGGGTTTTTTTAGCGTGTGAAAAAGTTGACATATCTAAACGATTGAACTAACTTAAAGTAAACTATTAAGTGGTCAGCATATTCCCGGCTAAACTTCTAATTCATTCTAAATAAGACGTCTATAAATGGTTTCGAAAATAAGCGTACCTCTAGAATCAGTTTTATTAACTGACCACTTTTACGGAAGTTCCAGATCTTCCAGAGGTCCATTCAGGGATCCACAGGGTCCATATTCTGGTCACAACTCCAAATTCATTTTGAAAAGACGTCTATGAGCGGTCTCGAAAAAACCGCAAAGTTCTAGGATCAGTTTCACGAATTGACCACTTTTACGGATGTTCCGGATCTTTTGGTTGACCATTACGTGGACACCAGAGTATATATTCTGGTCAAAACTCCAAATTTATTCTGATCAGACGTCTACGAGAGGTTTCGAAAAAAACCGCGGAACTCTAGGATCAGTTTCAGGAATTGAGCACTTTACGGATGTTCCGGATCATCCGGTGATCCATCCCATGGTCCCCTTGGGTCACAACTCCGAATTCATTCTGATAAGACGTCTATGAGAGGTTTCGAAAAAACCGCGGAACTCTAGGATCAGTTTCATGAATTGACCACTTTTACGGATGTTCCGGATCTTCCACAGGACCAGACTTGTGACCTACCGGAAATTGGATGTTCCCGAAGGGTGGCTTAACAACTTCTTAAAAGACATCAAGAAGTTATCGCTTAAAATTGACGAACAATTAGCTCAAATCCCATATGGTACGTGTATTCGTTAATGCCGGATCGTGGTAACAGTACTATAGGAATCCGGCAAGGAATATAGGAATAGAAATCTTGACTGTATATCTTATGCATGACGAACTAGAGTGGGCAGAATTTGTTATTGTTCTTTAACTAATCATGTTTTTATTACTTCATGCGTGTTAACAAATATCAGACTCAAAGTGGTCATTTTATACGATAGATGAGGAGATGAAAGTGAAGATTTGATAGTTCCACTTGAGTACGGCAGTGTAAAAATTGTATTTAGAGAGTAGAAAACGAGTAAAGCTCAATTTTGAGTAAGGTACGAATCGGATTGAAGGGAGATAAGGAGATGATCTACCTGATTCGTACCTTTCTCAAAATTGACCTTTGCTCGCTTTCTACTTTCTATCCACGCTATTTCAAAACTACTCAAATTTGGGTAGAATACACCCAACTCTGTCAAAACTGAACCTACCCAAAAATGGGTAAGCTATGTTGGGAGTGACAAGTTGACAAATGAACAAAGTCGATCGGATTCATGTCGATGTTGTAAATTTGTCAACTTGTCACTCCCAACATAGTTTACCCATTTTTGGGTAGGTTCAGTTTTGACCGATCTGGATGGATTCTACCCAAATTTTGGGAGTTTTAAAATAGCGTGTATATAATTTTCACACTACTCTAACGTAACTAGCAACTCTATATTTTTGTATCCTCATCTATCTGTTCCTTCTGGTTCATCATGCATAAGAGACAAAGATTTAGGTTTTTCACAAAAGTTGTAGCCAATATCAAAACTTACAAAAGCTTCATACATCGTTTTACGGAATTCTGTCGATGAAAAAAGTTAGAGGCTAATGAATGTAAATGAATGCACGAAATGAATGTGAATGATTTTCCGTGCCTGCCCATAAAAAAAAAACAATTACGCAATATTTCATACAAATCGGAGAAGGTCGATTCAAGAATACAATTTGTTTCGCTATTTTGCCTGAAACTGCGCATTAGGGTGTTTCATTTTGAAAAAAGTGATGAATTTTTGATAGGCCACCCTCCAGTTCGATTCATAGCCCCAAAATATGAACCTGTGCAAAAAATGGTAAAGATTGATGAAGGTTTAGAGGTCGCGCCAATGATTTGGATTTTGTATGGAGATTTTGGTGAATTAGTATGGGAAATTATTGATTTTCGTTTACATTGCTCTAACTTTGGTTGTAGTTGTCCAAACGTTGAAAAAAAAAATATGTGGTTGTCATGACAATGATCAACAAGCCTGTTGTTGTTGCGATGAAATTGGCGTTGTTGCCTTGTACATATTCATCTGTCAATTTACCCTATTTTGCCATTTTTTCACATTTTTATAATTCTTGATACGCTGCAAAACTGAGCGTAGCAACTGTAGGCTTTTTGTTTATTGCCATAGCAATAACATACTAAATTTTTTCGACATTTGGACAAGTAGAAGCAAAGTTATAGCGATATAAGCGATTTTTTAAATTCTTCCATAGTAATTCCCATACAAATTTCAAATCATTGGCGCGACCTCTAAACCTTCATCAATCTTTACCAATTTTTGCACAGGTTCATATTTTGGGGCTATGAATCGAACTGGAGGGTGGCCCATCAGAAATTTATCACTTTTTTCAGAATGAAGCACCCTACTGCGCATGTTTTAAAGTTTGAGTTTGAGATTCAATGCACAAAAGACGAGCTCACCGATGAAATTCACCAAAACAAATTTGACAGGACTGATGAGGGCTTTGTTAACTGAAAATCAAAATTATATGTTCATTTTCAGTAAGCAAGATTCTCATCACCTGTCAAATTTCCTTCAGCGCATGAACTATAGAAATCATGTAGACAATTCAAGCTGAACAATGCATTAGGTCCTAAGTAACATTGACAAATTCTCTACGTCGATTTTCTCTTTGCATCCTCATGACCGTGTTAAGACATTCCCAGCTATTTTCAGCACACAGATCGATGCAAAAAGCAATTATCTTGCTTCTAATACGACAAACACAAGACAAGAAACGGTGCTGTACCAAAGTTATTAACGAAAACAAAGTCGATGAAGAGAATCGATTATGTTACTTAGGACCTAATGCAATGTACAGCTTGAATTGACCTGTACCACGCTTGGAAGGGTGGTGAATATTGTGCATTAATCAATTTTCGTAAAGCTTTAAAAAACCAAGCAAACAAACAACAATTCGACAGTGAGTATACATAAGGGCGTAACCACGATAATCGATTCTCTTCGTCAATTTTCTCTCTTGTTAATAACTCGATTGGATTAACATTTCTCGGTACGTTTGTTGTTTCTTTTGATAGCCAATACAACCTGTTACAGCACTGTATTGGTCAAATTTCCGAAAATTGCTTCCCTTAGCTGTAGCAATTTAAAGGGAAAATCGATGAAGAGAATCGATCATCGCAGTTAGGCCCATATGCATGTTCACTGTCGATTACTTTCCGACATTCCTCAAAATAAATGGATCTTTCAGCAGAAAAGAAAATATGAAAAGAAGAAGTCGATCAAAACCGGAAAGATCTCCTGGTGAGAAAAATTATGCTCCTAAATCAATAGCTTGTTGTTATGTTTAACGCCTTTTTGTATTCCTTAAATTTTGCAATTAGGTATCGTCACTCTAGAGAGACTACCTGGGTGTATTGTTTTTATTGTTTCGGAATTTCCTCCGCTCCAACTCGGTTCCAAAATGTTTCATATTTCTTACTCTTTAAAATAGTGTTTTACTCTGTGTCCTTATCTCATCGCCATCTATGTTATTAGTTATTTATATTATAGTTAATTAATTAATGTTTAATGAACATTTAGTTACCGCTTGAATTTTAAATCTGTGACGCACTAATTCGTACCAACTACAACTACTGACGAGCACGTTTCCGAGACCGCACCGCACACTCGGCTTTTTCCTAACTGAGTGTGTAATCCGTACTGACCCCTGCTGGCTAAGTGAGGGGTGCCCCGGCGCGGTCCCCTCCCCGTGTCCTCGATTCGCCCATGAACGATTGGCAAAGGTATAAAACTTGGTTTAATTCGTATTTTGTATAAGAACTGGTATATTTATCTGCCTGAATCACACCGCAACGTGCCGCCACCACCACCACCACGAAGACGATGATCGCTTAGTTGAAATAGCGGAAACGAGCTGGTGCCGCCGGTGGAGGGAGGAATGGCTGCGGAACGGCGGGACGCGGTTGGAACTGATGGTGGTACTGGGAGGAAGGATGGCGGTGATGATGATGCTGCTGATACGAGTGGGGATGAGCTGGATTCATCCCCGGCGGCGAGTACGAGGACAAGGACGGCGAGGATGATGAGGACGATGACAAGGAGGATGAAGAGGAGAACGAACCACCAACAACATGGTCCGGTTGGACCTGACCGTTGCCGTTCCATACCAGTTGACAGATAGGCGACGGTTGCAGATTTTGCAACTGTTGGTGTTGGTAGTGATGTAGCTGTGGCTGTTGTTGTGGATGATGCGGCTGCTGGCTTAGCTGCATAGGCGGCGGCGGCGGCGGCGGAGGTCGTGGTGGAGGCAGATAAAACACGTGTTGTTAGCATTGTACTCTACCAGGCTGGTTGTATTGCGATTGTCTTTCCAGCAGGTCACGGTACTCGCCGTACGTCATGTGGCACTCCTGTGACGTGTAACGAGTCAACTTGAGCGAACGGCGCGTCTCTGGCGTGATGGAAGCCTTGTAGCCACCCTTACGCAGCAGCGAGTCGATCGTTTGCGTTTGGTCCCAACCTGAAATGGTTTGAATCGCTTTAAAGTTCTATCTCTGATGGTCAAGTGTTAAGCGCTGAACACACACGGCGTTTTTTACTTATTGTTCATCTGACAAAACAGCCTTAATGAATACCTAAATTATGTTCAATTTTCTTACTCTATTTACAAATTGAGACGTGGACATACCAAAATCGAACGCGGATTCAATCGATGCAAACAAACGAATCATTGCAGATATAGGCTGGTTATAACCATACAGAGTACGATAAAATCCCGGTTGCATCAGGGACCGCTGACGTAATATCATACCTGAAGCACGGAAGTCACGTAATTTAACGAGAAACGTAGCTTGCTGTACTTTTCGTCTTCGATCAATCGTTTCAAGACCAAGCAGACGGCATCTATCGGGATACGCTGGAAGGTTAGACGGATCACGCCATGGTAGATTCCTGAGAGCAAGCCGTATGAACCTCTTTTGGACTCGCTCGATTCTTAAGTTCCATGTAACGTCGTTTGTAGCGTGTCCTTAAATTTTATAGCGACACAAAATTGGTTTGAGTTTATGGTAAAGGGGAAATCTTAGGGGAAACAAATAAAATGAAAACGGAAGAATAGTGATATTTCGAATCGCGTTGGGTTTGGTGACTATGGCATGACCAGACACTCCCGGGTAACTAGCTCAGTAGCATGAGACCCCTGAGCTGTGTCGCAGGGCCGGCATGTTAATGGGTATTCGGAGGGGCTACGCGGACAAAGTATGAAACACACAGGAATATTCACATTTTCTAACATTTATTTGCCCTTTTCTGTGGCGTGTGGGTGTGGGTTTTATGAGAATTTATAAACGGTACGGTACTCACTGTTGCAGCAGATTCTCCTTCGGCGTCGCGACGCTGGCATTGGCCCACACGGCTGCTGCTGCACTACCGTGTGGCCGGAAACTTGCGGCGTGGGCTGCAGACAGTGTTGTTGCCGCTTTGGGAGAATGGCGGATCTGGTGGCGTTCATCAGCCACATACGGCTCAGCAGGCGTTGCTGGCTCATTTGGCTGACAGGCGTCTTCCGTCGTTGACGGCATCGGCTGACCATGGCATGGCCACCTTGGTCGAGCCGAGACGGGACCCTCCTTGATAATAAAGGCCACCGGCCTGAGGGAATCGTCCCTGACAGACGATCGAGGATCATTTACTATTAGGCTCGGAAGCCATCTTGACTTCCGAGCCGAGCCGTGTAAGACCGTCTTATTTACGGTACGAGGTGTACAAAATGTACAAAAGCACAAGAGGTCCTGAGAATTCAGTCAGGGAAATTTCCGTCAGGATAATAAAAATCAATTACCTGAACGGAGGTAGGCTTTCCAGTCCAAACACCACAAGGGGGGGGGGGGTTGTATTAAATATGCACTACACTTCACGATACCGGTCTACACGGACGCCTGATTACTTCTGCCTAATCTTTCAAATCTTTTGCCCATCCATTGTTATTTTAATGCCAAGATTTTACTCCATCAGTAACGTTACGTTGTTGTTTGCAGCGGCACAAACCCTCTCGCTCTTGTGTGTGTCTACTGTTTTAGGTTTAACAAAACGTGAATTTTCCAAACAACAACAACAACTCATACAAACGAAAATCCAAGGATTGTAACCAACTGGTTACAGTTTGGTGAACTTGATGGAACTGGATGAACATTTCGGAAGTTCTATGAACTGCTCAGAAGCTCAATATACTGCTCGGAAGTTCCATTAAATTCTCGGAAGTTCTATGATCAACTCAAAAGTTCCAAGCTCATCTTGAAAGTTCCATAAACATTTCGGAAGTTCTATGAGCGTTTTGGAAGTTATAGAATAAACTTCTCGGAAGTTCTATGAACTGCTTGAAATTCTATGATCATTTCGCAAGTTCTATTAACATCTCTGAAGTTCTATGAGAATCTCTGAAGTTCTATGAGTATCTCGGAAGTTCTGTGAACTCCTCGGAAGTTCTATGAACATCCCGAGAGTACCATAGGTGTTAACTTAACATTGTTAACTGCGATTGAGAGTACCTATGATAATTCATTTGGTTGAGTGGAAGTTCTATGAACTGGTCGGAAGTCCAAGGGACATTTCGGAAGATCTATGAACATCTCGAAAGTTCTATTGGCCACTCGGAAGTTCAATGAGATATGTGTTTTCAATAAAGATAATAACAATACATGTCGGAAGTTCTATGAACATCTCGGAAGGTCTATGAACATCTCTGAAGTTCTTTGAACTGCTGGGAAGTTCTATGAACTACTCGGAAGTTTTACGAACATTTCTCTATAAACAACTCGAAAGTTCTATGAACACCTTAGAAGTTATATGAAGCTCTATCGGAAATTCTATGAACATCCCGGGAGTTCTACAAAAATTTCGAAAATTCTATGATTCTCTCGAAACTCCGGTCTACAAACATTAAATGCTGAACAAAAGCTTAATCAGCCAAAAATAAACTTCTTCAGTAAAAAAAATAGCTTATTCATCTTATCATTAGCTCATATTGTTGCTTGGGTGGAAGTTCTATGAACTGATCGGAAGTCCAAGGGAAATTTCGGAAGTTCTATGAACATCTCGAAAATTCTGTTGGCCACTCGGAAGTTAAATGAGAGATGTGTTTTTAATAAAGATAATAATAATACATCTCGGAAGCTCTATGAACATCTCGGAAGGTCTATCAAGATCTCTGAAGTTCTATGAACTGCTCGGAAGTCTATGAACTGCTCTGAAATTCTAGAACATCTCGGATATGCTATGAACATTTCGAAAGTTTTATGAACACCTTGGAAGTTCTATGAAATGTTCAGAAGCTCTATCGGAAGTTCTTTAAACATCCCGGAATCTACAAACTTCTCTAAAATTCTATGATTCTCTCGAAACTTCGGTCAACTGCACACCCAACAAACATTTAATGCTGAATAAAAGCTTAATCAGCAAAAACGTAAACTGCTTCAGCTTAAAAATAGCTTATACAACTTTTCATCAGCTCAAATTGTTGGTTGGGTGAAAGTTCTATGAACTGGTCGGGAGTCCAAGGGACATTTCGGAAGAACTATGAACATCTCTTAAGTACTATTGGCCGCTCGTAAATTCAATGAGAGATGTGTTTTTAATAAAGATAATAATAATACATCTCGGAAGGTCTATCAACATCTATGAAGTTCTATGAACTGCTCGGAAGTCTATGAAGTGCTCTGAAATTCTCGAACATCTCGGATATGCTATGAACATTTCGAAAGTTTTATGAACACCTTGGAAGTTCTATGAAATGTTCAGAAGCTCTATCGGAAGTTCTTTAAACATCCCGGAATCTACAAACTTCTCTAAAATTCTATGATTCTCTCGAAACTTCGGTCAACTGCACACCCAACAAACATTTAATGCTGAATAAAAGCTTAATCAGCCAAAAATAAACTTCTTCAGCTAAAAAGTAGCTTATTCAACTTTTTCATCAGCTCAAATTGTTGAGTGGGTGGAGGTTCAAGGGACATTTCGGAAGTTCTATAGACTTCTCTTCGAGATCAGCAATGGCAGATTATGCACGAGTACGGATTTCCGGACAAACTGACGCGATTGGTCAAGGCGACGATGGATCGAGTGATGTGCGTTGTTCGAGTATCGGGGACACTCTCGAGTCCCTTTGAATCTCGAAGGGGGTTACGGCAAGGTGATGGACTTTCGTGTCTGCTGTTCAACATCGCGTTAGAAGGTGTGATCAGAAGAGCTGGGATAGACACGAGTGGCACGATATTCAGGAAGTCCATCCAGCTTCTTGGCTTCGCCGATGACATTGACATTATGGCACGGAACTTTGAGATGATGACGGAAACGTACATCATACTGAAGGCTGAAGCTAGACGGATTGGACTTGCCATCAACGCATCAAAGACAAAATACATGAAAGGAAGAGGTTCTAGGGAAGACAATGTTAGCCTCCAACCCCGAGTTCAGATTGACGGTGACGGAATCGAGGTAGTCGATGAGTTCGTGCATTTGGGCTCACTGGTGACCGCCGAAAATGATACCAGCAGAGAAATTCACGAAGTTGACTGTCTACAAGACGCTGATTAGACCGGTGGTCCTCTACGCCCACGAGACCTGGACTATGCTCGTGGAGGACCAACGGAAGGTGTTGCGTACCATCTACGGTGGAGTGCAGATGGATGACGGAACGTGGAGGAGGCGAATAAACCACGAATTGCACCAGCTTGGGCGACTACGGTGGGCTGGGCACGTCGTAATAATGCCGCACGACGACCCAGTGAAAATGGTTCTAGAAAGCGACCCAACAGGAACAAGAAGAAGAGGCGCGCAGCGGGCAAGGTGGATCGACCAAGTAGAAGGTGACCTGCGGACCCTTCACAGACTACGAGGCTGGCGAACTGTGGCCATGGATCGAGTAGAGTGGAGACGACTTCTTCGGACAGCAGAGAACAACAAGGCCTTCGCCTGATTGGTAAGGCAAGGTATAGACTTCTCTGACGTTTGTGAATTGCACAAGTATTAGCGCAGAACTTTGGGTAAATTCAAAGGTTTTCTTGCACTAATACTTATAATTTACCCAAAGTTCTGCACTAATACTTGTCCATTTCACAAACGTCAGAGAAGTCTATGAAGTCTCGAAAGATCTATTGGCCGCTATTGACTTCAATGTATTTAATAAAGATAATAGAATCTCGGAAGTTCTACGAACATCTCTGAAGTTCTGTGAAACTCTCGGAAACTTCTATCAACTGCTCGGAAGCTATATTAACAGCTCGGAACTTCAATGAGAATTTTGGATGTTTTATAAACATGTCGGAAGTCCTATGAACCGCTTGGAAGATCTATGGACTGCTCGGAAGTTCTATGAACATCTCAGAAGTTCCATGCACATCTAGGAAGTTCTATGATTATTTCGGAAGTTCAGTGAACTACTCGGAAGATCTATGAACATCGCTGGAGTTCTATGAACATCTCGAAAATTCTATCAATGTCTCTAAAGTCCGGTGAACTGGTGAT